TGGACAGGCTGTGTTCATGGACTGGATTTATTATTTCTGTACACAGTACAATATATTGAAATCTGAAATTTAATGCAAAGGTAAAGGTTCAATATGCAAAAATATGTGATTTTTTTGTTTACTAATATCAAAAATTTCAGGAGCTCTTGCTTTTTACATGCAGTTTCTGAAATCATTTTGGGTCAAGAGTTCAGTCGCATTCACAAATCACAGAGTACAATCAGGGATATCAAATTATCTGAGCATAATTTTGGCCATCTCTTAAGCTAGTTTCCACTTATATGTGCCTTTAGTCAATTTCAATTTTTTATATAAAGAAATTTTACATTCCTGTGGCATAATTTCTGTCGGCATGCCTAAACATCTCATAGCATTCACAATATGTTTAAATCTTTTATCATTTCTACTATTTAGTCTCAGTCTGGTAGTTAGACTGACTGCTGCTTCATTAAGTCAGGGATCAATATCTGTTGGCCTTTCTAAACAAATGCTTTTTAGTTAGAGATTAAAATTTTGAAAGAAATAGCCAGTATGTTTAGCTTTTCTTTTGTTTTGCTGTTTTAAATTAGTAAGTAATACAATGAGTAAATAAATTCTGCATCGGCATGACATAACAGCCTGTAGTCACTGGGGACCAAACCCCTGTTGTGCTTCTTTGGCTCTGAAGGGCAGAACAGTGTGCTATAATAAAGGCAGTGAGCCGTCTAAAGCGACGGCACAAACAATAAAAATAGAGGAGCAGCTCACAGAATGAAATTGATCCTGTGGCCCTCTGATAAATCTCTGACCCAGAAGCCACCTACAGACTCAGCAAAGACTCTGCGCTGATGGAGAACAAGACTAAACAGTAACGACAATGCAGACTGCGGTCATATAGTCTAAAAATGAAAGACTCGTAATTTGAACCAGTACGAAGGGGTGGGAGTTTGTTTTGATGGGCTTAGACTGAGTGCAAAGGCTCAGAGTACTCTGGCTGTGGTTACCAACACATATACCTGACAACTGCACTGGCTTTAGAGGTATGTACATCATCGCTCAAATTCCTCATAAAAGCTGCCATAAGAAAATTACAAAATGCAAACTTTAAAAAATAAAACCTTGAAAAAAACAAGTATTTTGTCAGCCTATTAAGTCTGTAGTCATGACAATATAAATGAGAGGGTATTAAAGAAAGTCACTGACATTTATATTATTAGTATTTTTGAAAAGACAAGCTTTTCTACAGTCATGCCCATACGTTAGATTAAACAATCTGTTACCAGGAAGTGCGCTAAGCTAGGGTAACCGCATGTTTAACAGCAAGAAGAGTGGGATCGGTCATATCACATGACTCTTGGCAAGAAGTAAATGAAAGACTTGCGCTATATAAATAAAATTGAATTGAATTGGGAAGCTGCCTACATGCTTTCTTCAGCATGCTTGCTGTACATGTCCTGATCTTGTAAATCAAAGTGATGACTGTCAAATACGACAAGACTATTTATGATGGCACACGTAAAGAAAGCAAACCTGAGCTCTCATCAGATTTATAACTGGACCGGTTTAACTGGATATTTATGATCCAGCTGTCCTGTGTTGGTTAATGCAGAGAGTTAGAGATTCACTTCACACCACACACACACAGCAGCCAGAGAACGACAACTTGCAATGGATTTTAATTTGCAAATAAAGCAGGGCCAAACTATTTTATTTGCACTTGTGAGGATTTAAAAAGATCAGTAATGAACTCGGGACTCCAGCTTGTTGGAGGCTGTTGTTCAGCAGAGCATTTTAATTCAGTCAACTGGATGTGTTCTGCTTTTGCCAACATGAAAAAAAACCCTTTAATCACCATTCACAACCCGTTCTAAGACTTAGAGTTACAGCAATTTAAAAACAGAATATTTTTAACTGTCTCTGCATACTTGAGACTTTTTAATGGAATAGATTAACATGACAATGACTGAAGTTATCTACTTTCTTGCCACGATTTTGGGGAGAGGATCATGACTACTCATATCTTTGCAGGAAAGACAAAGCTGTGGTCGGTTAAATTTCAATTATGTTTCTTTATAATAGTACCGAGTCACAACAGTTGCTTTCTATTGTAAGGTAAAGACCCTACAATAACACAGAAACCCAATATTCAAACGACTCCCTTTGGGGAAGCACTTGGCGACAGTGGGAAAGAAGAACTCCCTTTAAACAGGAACAAACCTCCCAGCATAACCAGGCTCAGACAAGGGAAAGCCATCTGCTGCAATTCGTTGGGGATGAGGAGAGGAAAACAGGATAAAAGACACGTAGCAGCTACCTTTTAAATGTAGGTCTTTTTTTTTTTACAGTTTGGCTTTTGTACAGATTAAAAAATATATATCTAACACAGTGTTAGGTTAACCTCATTCCACAACCCCTGAAATCAGCTGACAACAGCTCAACTCAGTGCCAAAACATATCAACTGATGGTTACCTCCTACATCTACAGTGTTGTCTCTTATAGGGAATACTTTTTAAAAGGGCTGGGGGGGCACTGTTGACTCCCAGCAGAAGGTCCTGGGTTCAAATTCAGGCTGGATGCCTGCTGCTTTCCAGGTACACCAGCTTTGTGTCACAATCTAAACAGGGGTTGATTGGCAATTATAAATTGTCTGTGGGAATGGTTGTCTGTCTCTTCGTGTTAGGCCAGTTAAAATGGATTATCCAGGGTGTCATGCCTTTGGCTCTGTGACAGCTGGGATAGTCTCCAGCCATCCCACAACACAGAATTACCGGATGGTTGAAGCCTGGATAAGCAAAGGATGATGAGTGAAATAACCTGTGTTTTATACTAAGCAGATAAGCAGCAGATATGCTAACCATTAAAGTCAGGTTAAGCCTCCGGCATTATCCGCTATTTTAATTGGGCCAATATGCAAGTCTTATTGATCTTCTCATTGAAGTCTCACCAAGAGAGTTTGGTGTCCGTAGAGCAGAACTCCTGTGGATAAATACGCAGTGCTGTTTATTCATATTTATGTGCATGTCTTAGATTGAACAATCAATTATTCTGTGGGCTTTAAACCTTTATTTAAACATGTAAGTATCACATGAAGTCAAGCTGGTATCGTGAAATATATCCATGTCACCGTTTGCATCCTCTCCCCCATTCTGGACTTGAGTGCAGTGGGTCAAGACGAACTCCTCAAGAGTGTGTACGCACAATTCACAATTCAGTCTCCATGTTTTCTGCATCTCGATGGTTTTGTTGCAATGCTCTTAGTTGGCATTTACCCCAAAAAATATCTTTAAAAAAAATAAATGTGATGTCCGTTGTTTTTATGCATCAGAAGTTTTGCTGTCAGCCTCATTATGATTAGGGGGGTAAGGGTACATGGGGTTGGAGAAGGACAGCTTGGCATCTTTCCAGTTCAGACCCTGTATGTATGAATATGCACAAAAAAAGACATATCATTTCCTGTGTGCTGATTTCTGCACAGGAAATTAGAGTGAATGCCAAAAGGCTGTGTACAGACACCATACCTCTACCTCCTTCCTCCACGGGTAGACACTGATGGAAAGCCGGTGACCATCACTCCTCCTGGGGTTCACACTGGGACAGCCGCCCGCTCTTTCATCCTGAGGTAACGAAAATCATGTACATGGGTTTAAAATGAGATGAGGCTTAATGTGCGAGAGTGCATGAAATGCAAGCGCAATTAAAATCAAATTGCCTTGTTATGTGTACATAATTACAACTTTAACCTCCATAAAATATTTCATCGTCTTGCAGAGGTGGAATAATCACCGACTGTTTCCACTGCTGTGTAAGTGCTGAAGCGGATCTGTCATGGATATACTGGTTTGGCGCTACAACGCTCTACTTAAAATTGCCAGTAAGAAAAATGAGTGTAGTTAAACACATTTTGTGTGCTGTGCTTGTGTGTTTTCAACATGCACTTTAATAATGTACTGATTAGAATTCATCGACATAAATTCTTTTCTCGTGTACATGAAGATGAAAAATGGCTCATAAAATGATGACGAAACTGTACATGAAAGGTTTGTGATCACACATTCATTTGTGTTTATGTGTTTATGAATTATAACTCTTACAAACATGCCACATGCACAGAGCAAAGTTTTAATCCAGAGTCATCAGAGCAATGAAACATCACTCTGACTTGTATTACTCGGTGACACGCCCGTGTAGCTAAGAACAAAGTGTGTTTGTGTGTCTCTCATTCCATTATCCAAATGGAAGAGCTGTGCTTGCATCATGTCCTACGCTTGGCTCTTTCTCATTGATAGCAGGAATAATAGCAGAGATCAAAATTGCAGGAAACAAAACACACAGTGGGCGGACAATAATATGAGCGCCCGTGTAAGGTAATGCAAGCCAGTGAAGAAGCAGTTTCTAAAGCCTTTCATCATGTGATCTTGATTAAATTGGATATTTTTGGCATCGCAGCTTGTGCTGTTGCATTTGATCAGATTATATAGTTCGGTTATTGTGTCTACCTGCTGTATAGGCACTATAGTGTGTACATACAACACTCGGAGAAATACAAACTCATAGCGACACACAAACTGCAAAATCAATGATCCTAAATCAAAAATCTAATTTTGCAGAAAGGCTTCTGGCGAGCACCTTCTGACTTCTTCTAAAATTAAATCCACTTATTGAACAAATGTGAGAACAATGGTAGAAATATTTGATTTGTGTGGCTGAGAAACTTAATGTTACTCAAAACATGACTGATTGGACATTTCTGTCTGCTGACCTCTGCTTTCCAGTCAAAATTTGGGTTATCCATCACCCCGTAGTCCGTCAGGTTGGGCTTTCTGTGGAGCCGGCAGACAAACTCATCAACACATTTATCATGAACATAATCGTTACACGAAGGATCAGCAGTGAAACAGCAGAACGAATGCAGCTCCAACTCACATTAAGTGGCACTTTCTCTTGCGCAGAGCCAGAACACACACAGCGACTCCGAGTACGAGCAGCAGCAGCCCGATGCCGATGCCAACGTACACAGGAACTGCAGTGACATTAACGGGGTAAGTAAGGATGCAGCAATTACACTGAGGTGAGTCATTTTAATAGAGGTGAGAGAAGAGGTGGGCTTCTTTATTACCCATCTGCGTGTCCTCTGGTTTCGGCGAAGACGTGGAGAGGGATGGTTTCTCTCTGACATGGCAACGGTTTCCTGTCCATCCCGGCTGACAGCTGTGACCACGCAAGGAAAAACAAACGAAAGATGAGACACGGATGCTGAAACCACATGTCTTGTTTTATGTAGCACCGTTTTGTGATCACATGAGGAGTCTGACTCAAATGTGCTTCCCAAATGTGAGTCTCTACTGGCCCAAAGATAAGAGGAATAAATGAACACAATATGCTTGTTTTATGATCTCCATCATGCTCTTTTCTTTTAATAATCCAGCACAACAACATGTTTTATAATCAGATTTTGGGTTGGAGGCCCTGAGCTACACTTTAAGAACCACTGCATACCTGTATATGTCTTTATATTTCTTGTCTTTAATGAAGCAACTAGTGGCACTGTCATCCATTACTAATGAACTGCACATGCACATATACATATAACACTTAATTAAATAGACATAGATCAAACCTTTGGTAAGAACAGGATAAGACTTTGAAGCTACATAAAATCAAATACTAAAACAAAAGAAGTATAATCCTGACAGTTTCTATTAAGCTTATTGAACATACGCGTCTTTTCCATCTTGACAAAAAGTGCAAGGTTTATCTGCTGGACGTCAAGCATGGAAACACAGGCTAATTGCGAATTGTTTGGCCGGTCTGTGGAGCTGCATCTGGAAAGAAAGTAAGTTCCTCTTTTTCAAATCTAAGACTCTGCTCCAAGTCAACATCTGTTCAGTATCAGCTTGATTTCAGAGCAACATTGACCTTCTAATTCGAAACACACAGCTCTCAGCAAAGCCAGACTGAGTCATTATCATTCAGAGGGGGTCAGCGTGCATATTGTGCGACTGTCTAGCCGTGGCAGTGGGCTGCTCCTGGCCTGGTTCCCTGGTGGATCCTGCTCAGCAGAGTGGAGGAACGTGAGGCAAATACTGAGCCAGAGGTGCTGGCCATGAGTTCTGCTACAGCAGGGCTGTTATCAATGCTGGAACAGCTTCAGGAAGTCCATACCACACTGCAGTGTGAATGACGGCGGTAAGGTCCTCTTACATAATGAGAGGAGGCGGTGGTGGTGGTGGCGCTGCACTGAGGAATGTTGGACGGGGACATGAATAGGAAAGGGGAATCAAACACAGGAGGACTAAACGAGGCAGCATTTCTGAGACAAAAAGCATTAACAAAAAAATCTTTTGACATAAAGCAGGAAGGAAAAGGAAGAAGAGGTGTCTGGAGAAACAGATGAAATGCTCCCTTCTCCTTTTTGCTGGCTGGGCAGGCGTGTGGGTGCACTTGATTGACAGCAGCTGAGCTCTGTCAGTGAAATTGGACACAAAGTAAACAAATTTGCGGTAGTGCCCACATGTCACGGGCAGACAGCTTGTTAGCAGTACTGAAAAGCAAAGACCACACCAGCATCTAACCTGTCTGGACTGATACCTGCGGGTACATTTATATTCTGTACGTGTCGCCGAGCCTACAAACCGACATTAGCAGCTCGCTTTTTGTCAGGATGTGCACGACAAGACGTGCGTTCCTCTTTGCAAGTTAGATAAGAAGCAGACAAGCCAGTATGGGCTACTTAGCATTCAAAGTGTGCAGCTCTTGTGCAACAGTTCCAGCTTCCTGTAAAAATGGTTTAAAAGGAAGTGAAGTTGTTGAAAACCAAAATTTGGATTAATCCAGTTTCTCAGTTTTGTCTTAACAAGAGATTTTCATCACAAATTCATATCATGCAGGAATTTAATTTCAATTGAAGGTGTTGCTTTTCTAATAACGTGACACTTATTGGGTTGTTGACATGGCGTGCAGTTAGTTATGTGACTTTAGGGAAGGTGTATCCACCCCGCTGCATGATTCACATTCATGTGTTGGAGAATTTAACCTTTGGTGAAAAGAGAACGGGGGAAATGTGAATCTCCCAGAAAGGCTTCACTGGTGCATAATGATGTTAGCAGATCCAGCACCAAGTCTTATAATTGCATTCTTTCTTTTATAATGAAAAATCTCATTGGAGACATTCCAAGCTGCTGATGCAGACAGCTAGATTCACGGGCTTAATAAAAAAAAACCTCCAACAGAGTGTCTGTCTTGAATGTGTTTTTGAAAGGTAGACGGCTGTATTATGGTGGCAGGTTAATCTGATGCATGGCTTTTTGGGGGTCTACCCGCTATAGCTATTCTTAGTGGTGACCACGATTAAATATTGACCAGGAGAACCCATCAGAGATTCCCAGGAAACACTATGCTGCGGTTAAATGAAGGAAGAACCATCCTGCTTAATCTGCAGGGGATAAGCAGATTCCCACATGCTTCACGGAGCGTGTCTTTTCCAAGGAAAGAAACAAGACTGATGGGATTTCCATGTTTTAGAGCTCACAGACAGATAAAGGATGAGAGGGGGAGTGGGAAGAACAGACAAGATACTTATCTTTCTTTTGTGCATCTTAATGAATGTGACTGAGTTTGTGTATTAGTCTGCTTATAGATGCATGTTTGTGTGTGTGTGTCTGGGTGAAGTTCAGCTTACATGCAAACAGGCCCCTGTGTCATCACATGGCATGAGCCGTGATACATGCAATACATCGGAGGACATTCTGCAAATGAAGAAAAGAAAATGCAGCATCACCACAAGTTGTACGAAGAAGGCAGGATACTCAAATCCTCACTGTACTCTGTCAGCAGCCACCATTTCTCTCCTCATCTGACAGGAAACAGACATGTGGCTGTTCAGAAGATGAAATCGGTCAAATATGTTGGGGGGGGGGTTACTGTTGAGTGTCATCCATTAACCTCTGCAGAGAGCATGAGCAGTTAAGAGACCATGCATTCCAGCCACTTAAAGTGAGTATGACACCGATGGCTTTTATTTACTAGTAAATGTCGGACAATCATTTGCTTTTAGTTCATGTGTCAGTTATTCAAGGTAGGTCACTCCAAACATCTTAGAGTTTTTATGAGGTCTTTTCAAGGTGCATCAGAGAAAGAGAGTGATCCCTAAGTGCCATCTTTCTTCTTCTTCTTGTGGCTGTGATAAATAAAGTTGCCCACATGATTTTTATCTGAAGGAAGCACCAACTTCACGTCTGGTGTTGAGCCAAGACTGTGCTGGCATATCTAAAATACTCCAGTCTTTTCAATTTGCTTTCCACCACAGTGCACGTCATTAATGTGGCCAGTGTCTTCCCTTAGTTGTGTCTGAACATTACAGTAAAACTGTTTTGGAAGAAATGTCTTTTGTGTTGAACACTGAGGAATCTTTGACTTAAAATAGCCGTTTGGTCTCTGAGTAATAGCTGAAGGACTGATTCTCATCTGTACCGATGAGAGTCCGGTGGTGCCAGTGTCCGGCAGCCTCGCCTCTGTCAGTGCGCCCCTGGGTGGCTGTGGCTACAATGTAACTTGCCATCACCAGTGTGTGAATGGGTGGATGACTGGGTGTGTAAAGCGCTTTGGGGTCCTTAGGGACTAGTAAAGCGCTGTACAAATACAGACCATTTACTTTAGCATGCTTTTTTCCCCTCGCCCACCTAATCTATCTGATGATGACTGCTCCTGCCTCCATAGGTTGGATGAGGGTTATTAGGGTTGCCTTTTAAATAATCATCATGCTGGAAATACCATTATGAAACCCTGAAGTGCTGCTCAGTCCTTGATAAAGTGACTTTGGCTTGGCAGCAAATGCAGGCGGAATGGGAGGTTTGGGCTTATTTCTCAAAGATGCAGGAAAGCAGAGGTTTTAATGGATCACATTTTGGCAGCTTGCAGTAACACCGTAAGGTGTGCTTTGAAGACTAAACAGCCAGACCTGAAAATGTCCTGAGAGTCCCTCGAAATGGGCAAATATGAGTGAAGTACTGGAAGCACTTAAGGGAAAACTGACTCATGAGAGGGCAATATATAGAGAAAAGGCAAAGGTATGTGCTAAATTAAATGTGAAAATACTTTAAAAGATTACTTTTTCGTAAATGGATACAAAGAAAAGACGTGTCATTCGAATCAAAGCAAATTGAGATGTAACAGCACATTGGAAGTAAATGTCACAGTGATTGACATCAAAGCTTTAAAAGAAGCTAAATTAAAGCATGAAGTGACTAATGAAAGTAGAGACATTTGATCACAGCTAAATCCACAGACAGACGTGACACAGAGGTGGTAGAAATGACACTTTAGAGTAAGTGCAACCTGCGACATGTCAGGAAATCATACAACAGGGCTACAGTTAATGGCAAAAAAGGGTAAGGTAATAAAAGCGTGTTACCATGGCAGCTGGATTCATCTGAGTGGAATGGCAGGCAGTCGACAAAATGGTCACAACGGCTCTGAAATGGGATACAGCTAGACGAACTTTCACACACCAGTTCTCCCAGCTTACACTGGAGCCAAGCTGGTGGAAAAAATGAGGAAATATGAAGAGGGTGAGTGTTAAATTCACAGACTATAATGAGTGTATCGTAATTATAGTAGGAGAAGTGCACTGCTCACTGCCTTTTTAAAGCATTTTAAGGAGATATTCTACAAGCAATTGCACAAATATTCAAAAAGTCCAGCTTCTGACTCCCAAACCTTTCATTTCTTCTTAGATATAAACTGTATCGACAGGCTCCGTACAACTAATGCTGTCAATCAAATACACAGTCAAATTCACTTTATCAAAGGAACATATTTTAACACAACAAACACTAACCAAGGCCCATATAAACGTAACACACACTAAAATAATCAAGTAGTTCACTGAGAGTGTTGGGATTTAAAAGCATGGACTGAGACCACACTGAGACCACACCAGCAACTCAACAGGCCTTCATAGTACCCACAGTGATCCTCACTCACACATCCTGTTATACATCTTCGATTACTGCGTTTACCCCAGTGCAGATGAGGTGACTGAAATTCAACCTATGGTGCTAAAAACTAAATAAAAAATGATTAAACAGGGTCCTTAATCTGTATGCAGTACCCACTATAACCTGCTCTGTTTAAGTAAGAACTAAGTATAGCACCAGTAAACCTTTACCTTTGGTAGAACATAATATCTATAGCTCACATCCACACTTATGACCTGTAACCACATGAGCACCCCTCATCAGTCACCCCTCATTTCTTTACATTTAGCTTCAAAGAAGTCAGACTTTTCATTTTTAAAGTGGTCTAGAGCAATAATCTTGTAAGCTTTCTAAAGGTCTTTACATTTTTTATGGACATTAGCTGCTTTTTCACACATTTTAAATGGAGTTTCTCTAACTTTTTTTCCTAACCATTTTTAAGGAAGTGAAGTGGGGGAAAAAGCTGAGGTATGCCAAATTACACAAGAACTGGACTGAAAATCAGCATCACTGAACTTCCTGATTTAAATAATTGTCAACATATAAGGAGGAGGTCAGAAGAAGGTATCTCTATCATGGTTTAGGGCTGCACTTCAGTCAGTGGTCCTGAGGATCTTGAACTCATAAAGGCAGAAAGTTAGCACAGATATTTGATCCCACATGTCTGATTAGCAACAGGTTCATTTTTCAGCAGGACAATGACTCCAAATGCACAGCTAATGCAGTAAAAGCACACCTGGGTGGAAAAACACACAGTGGAACAGTATCGGTCATGGATTGGCCTCCCCAGAACAGACCTCAACGTTAATGAAGCAGTGTGAGGTCATCTTGATGGAGAACAGGACAAAAGGCAGACACTTACAAAGAAGAGCTTTAAGTCTATTTCAAGAAGTCTGGAGAACTATTCCTGAAGATTACTTAAAGAAACTACAAGAAATCTTGTCTGAGAGAGGTCAGCCTGTTAGGAAGAATAAAGGTGGTTATACAAAATACTGACTTTAAGCTTGTTAGACTCTTACAAACTATATTTTTGTCCTATATTTTGTATTTCCATGTATGTTTGCAGATATTT